CAAGGCCGCTACCTGCACACAGAACAAATTCACAAAGACATCCATACCTCGAGTGGGATTCGAACCCTGGATCGCAGTGTTCGAGCGGCCGAAGACGGTTCATGCCTTAGACCGCGCGGCCACTGTAATCGGCGCACGCACGCACGCACACACACACACACACACACACCACAATAAATATATATATATAAATGCAACACAGTTTGTATGTATTTATTTTCGTTCAGCGTCTCTAATGACGTGAAGCCGTAATATTGATTGCCTGTTGCTTCGATACATCGTTTTGACTTTTCGAGAGTTTGAGTATCGTGACGTAACAGTGAATAGTTGCCCGTGAATTTAATGTTTGTTTGTTGCAAGGGAAGAGTTAACCGTAGTTCGAATTATTTAATTGTAATTCCTTTTGTCTAACGCCCCTGCTAAGGACACGCTGTATACTTTTAGAGTTTCATTAAGTTTGAATTATTTATTGGTATGATAGTAGCTAATAACCATTACAGTCATCCTTCCTTTGCTACTTTTCGAGCCAATGCTGATTTGTCTTGAAGACGTCGGGGAGGTAAAAGTAATTGTTGCTACCCCACAGTGAGACGTTTCAGTGGACGGGGGAGTGGGGAGCAAGTCGCATGGACTCCGCGAATATCGAACAGAATTGTAGCATTGTGTGAGCTCTAGTAACAGTGAAGGAATTGATAGTCTTTTTCCCTGCACGACCCAGTTCAAGGCCCGACAAGGATCTCATTTCAGAAGTACGAAACTAGATCACTGGGTCACTTCGAAAATCTAGCCCATTACGTGAGTAATCTGGCCCAACGATCAGGGGTAGTGCGAAGCAACTGTCACATACCAACAACATTTATCTGTGCCCGTGGCATCTTCGGTTTATGACATGCGGACTTCCAGTGAGGGTCTTCAGTAGGTTGAACTGGCTTCTTCAGTGGTAATGAAACCTTCGTGTCCAATAACAGGAACGTTTTGAGGGTTTCACAGCGTTAATCATTAAGATTATGACTTATTGGGCTGAGAGGCCGTGTGATTTTATTGGATGATACCGACATTTCGGCGAAGAGGGACACTATGCTACAAACCGGAAGGTCGCGGGTTCGATTCCCGAGGAGGTCATTTGATTTGTCACTTGACCAAATCCATCCAGCCGC